AATGGATTTTAATGAAACTTTACAATAATATAGCTTATACGTCAGAATAACACATACGCAATAAATCATCCCCCTAGGTCCAACCAGAGGATGTGCTCAAACGGGGATTTAGAAATTTATATGGAAATTTTTATTTATAAATAGTTGCCATGGGTTTTAAAACTATTTTAATAAATAATTATTGGTTGCCGTGAAATCAGTGTACTCATTCAATGTATTTAATTTTTTTGTACGCTGTGTTTTGATATTATATGTATCGCAATTACTTAAATATTGAGAGTATTATACTCACATATAAGTTACGTACATAAAACAATGCCACGTTTTCGTGGACGAGGAGGAAATATTGTTCGACAGACACGGCTTTCATAATTAGTCCAGCCGTTTAGGAGGAGTCAGTGACATACTTGGTATAACTTTGATTACTTTTGAGTTAAATTATAAAGTTACGGTATAAATCTAGTTTAGCGGCTCCTCGAAATTTCGATTTTTTTTCTTTGAAACATATGTAATTCGACGAGTTTAGAACGATGGTGTAAAAATAAATTTGCGGAATTGATTAGTTTTGAAGTTATAGACTTGCGAAGTTCTCTATTTTCGGTGTTGCGCGCAACGCTTTATTTTAACGCTCTCATAACGAATTTTAAAATTATTTTTTTCGGAAATATGTTAACTGCGTAACCACTGCTCATATACTACGACATAACTTACCCTGTAACCTACTTAAGGTGGTGTTGCATAGCAAGTCGGGGGATATTTTTCGATTTGTGGAGCGGAGGGACGGAGCCGAGGAGCGCAGCGACGAGTTCCGCTAGCTGTGTAATCACTGCCCACATTATAAGAGCGTTAAAATAGTGATTTAATAAAAATATGTTCTTAATCTAACAATATTATAAAATAATTTGTAACCAAAATATTTTTTTTTAATTTTAGTAATTAATCATTTTATTTAATTTAATTCTAAAAATTCTAATTCTTATTTTAATTCTAGTTTTAAAACACCGAAAATCGCGAACTTCGCAAGTTTATAACTTCAAAACTAATCATTTCCAAAAATTTATTTTTTCACCATCGTTCTAAACTCGTCGAATTACATATGTTTTAAAAAAAAAAAAATGAAATTCCGTGGAGCCGCTAAACTAGATTTGTCCAAAGTTACGTACAAGATTGCCTACCTGATATATACTGCTGCGAATCAGAATTTTTATCCCGGGCAACAGAAGAGTTAAGATAAATTTTGAACACCATACACTGAATATTAAATAACGAATTGAACAAAGTTTGAGTCATAGAGAGTTGGTACATTTAACGGAAAACGAAGTGCAATATAAATATATTTATATTCAGTTTATTTTGTATACACATTGATGTACCTAACTAATTGGTAATATAAATGTAATGTATCTATTACAAAATTATATTATTAAATGTAAGTACACATTTTAAATTATACACAGCTACATTTAAAAAATAGACAATAAATTTGAAGAAATAACTATGATAATATATAAAATATCCTTTGAATTTAATTCGTTGTTATTAAAATACGATTATTTTTACTCAGTGCTCTTTTCAATATATGTAATAAACACGTGGGTAGCCTGTTAAAAAATATATAATTATAGTTTATTGAGTTTTTCTGGAACACTTTTTCTGGAATGACAACATAATTGTTACAGTTAATTCAAATAATAGTAATTTAATACATGTTACTTGTATACGATGGGTATTCGAAAAAATGTTATGACAACAAATTATATACTACCACCAAGCCTAAAGCCATCCCTTCTTCTTAGGCATAACACTCCCATAACGTTTACGACTAGTCACTAGAGATATTGTACATTTCTTATATACAGGCTACCATTAGAATTAATTATAATTAATTATCTTGTTAAATATATTATGCCTGTATCAAAAAAATCGAACATGTTATTCGCCAAATGTTATTTTATAGGTAGGTATAACATCTAAAATAGTATATATTATATTTTTATAGAAAGTAATATTTTCTCAAGACTTATTAACGTAAGAATATTTATATATTTATTCAACATGACAATTGTGTGTACAATGTCTGATTTTAAATAGGGGCCAATCGGATTGGGGCTGCATCCGAGTTCCATCCCAGTTGAAAAAAGTATATACTAATTTTGTCCTTAATAATTTTTATAATTTAATCTTAATAATAGGTATGTATAAATATTGTTGTTATAATTTATAAAATTCATACCTTCAAAATATATTGGTAGGTATTCATAATATTAGTTGGTATATTTTCATAATTTAATCGTAATAATATATATATTATATATAATAATAAAAATAAGTAAATATAATGAAACCTCCTCTAACGGACACCTCCCAAAAGCGGACATTTTTTTGGGAACGGGGACATTTTTAATACTTTTCAATAGGAAAATCTCCGAATAGCGGACACTAGGACTAGGTATTTTAATATTTTTCTTTATTTTAATTGTTTTTTTTTTCGATTTCTATATATTGAAACTATACCTATGGCATTTAAAAATGAAACATGTAGTGGTGAAAAATTTTCGAAAGAACGATTGACTGTACTTTTATACTGTAATATGATAGGTGAGTTATAACATCTTCTCATCATAGGTAAAGCTAAAAGACCTCGAGTTTTCAAAAGATTAGACGTAAATAAATTCCCCGCGGTGTTGGAATAGAAAGGCATGGATGACGACACAGATTATGACAGACTGACTTACAAAGTTCTATAAAAAAATGATAAAAGAAAAAAGAAAAGTTCTACTTATTGTTGACAACGCAGCTTTTTATCCCCTCCTTAAGCTAAAAACTTCGAGCTGGGTTCCCCCCCTCAAATATTACGTCTCATTGTCAACCTCTAGACCAGGGGATAATCCAACAGTTATTATACATATCATTAAATCTACATAATTAGTACATACATAACTATATTTATATTTTATATTACATTTTTATAACAACATTGTAGGTATGTAATTTAATTTAACATAGCACAAATGTTTTCATTTTACACACCATAATTTATGAATTTAAAAAATGTACCACTTCTGAATAACAGGCACCTCCAAATAGTGGACAAATATTCTGCGACTGAGGGTGTCCGCTATTCAGAGGTTTCACTGTACTATAAATCATAACAAAAAAAGATATATACTAATTCCGTCCATAAAAATTTTCATAATTTAATCGTATTAATATGTCTAAATATTGTTGTTACAAAATACATAAGTACAACAAAATATAGGTACTCATAATATAGTAAATTTTCATCATTTTCATCTGGTGTTAAAAATGGCAATCCAAATATGTATTTTAAAAAGATACCAATCTCAGAATTGTCATTTCTAAAAAAAGTGGACAATTTTAACTCTTGAGTTTTACTCCACCACGATTGTCTTAAGTGAAATCGACTTCCTCTTAAATCTATTTCTGGTCAAACTGCATAGACATTAGACGGCAGTATGACGTATAGCCTTTTCAAAATCTGCATAAATGGTTTAGGGTGTAAATTGTAACTGGAGCTTATCATATTCTACTGTACTTTCTATTGTACTTAAAAATTTAAGCCCTTGTTCATACGTGTTTCTTGCTTTGTCTAGCAGTAAAAAAAATACAAGTGGAATAAAACTGCGTTTGGTTCTTTTAATTCAAGAATAATAAAACTTTTTGTAAATTGTTTTGGGCAACATTAAAAGGTTTCATCAACATCATTATTACTAATTTTACTTAAATGAGATAAGTTTGTATTGCAAGTAATAAACATAATAATGACTAATGAGTTTAATTGGATTATTTATATTTAGAAAAAATTCGTCATTATTAGTATGTATCGTAATACCTAATTGTTTTCAATAATTCATGAACGTCTTCAATGGATGTGGGTAATTTTGATTATATGGAAGACCTAGCACGATGGATATTTTTTCTAGTTAAGTCTGTATCATTACTCATTAGAGGTAATAGTGTTAACATCATAATTATAGAAAGTTCTTTATGAACAAGTTTTGCTAGTTTTTTTACAAAGATCGCATCAATTGTTTTTCTTTTTAATTTATCATTAAGTTTTTGACGATTTGCAGTTTTGTCATGTCTGTGGTCTAAATTTTCGAAGATAATTTCTTTATTTTTTCCTGATATAAAAATTATTCTAAGTACCTATATAGAGGGCTATACTACTATTCTTTATTGTACAAACTTAATTCTTATAAATTTAGCTGTCTTACCATTTGTATATATGCTTTGCATTATTTTTGAATACCCTTCCAGCGTTCAACATCGTTATTCAATTCTTTGTAAAAACAAAATTTAAATTCATTTGTAATAGGCAATTAAAATTTTAACTTTTTTACTGTAGGTACATATTATGTAGTATACTATTCATTTTTAATATATATTAAATGGCACACGCACAAATAACGACCTAAAAGTTTATTTGGTTCGATAAATGAAATCATATTATATACTACGTATGAAGTATAGGATACTACGTACAATTTTCGTTTGGAAGCTCTTATATAAAATACTGCAACAGAAAGAAATTTGAAACAAAATAACATTTTTAGAAAATAAACCTATATATTTTCACGGTGCCGATGTAGAAAAATATTATGGACGGGAGAATGAAAAGTGGCCGCTGATAATTTCTGTGATGGTTTCGCAGAGCGTGCATTGTGAAATAATAGATTTAGATATAATTACCTAATACAAATGTATTATAGAATTATGTATTGATGTTGTATATGATTTTTAGTATACCTGCGTTCCGAAGAAAAAAATGGTGGCTAACACATCACCAGAGGTCACTTTTCATTCTATCCCGACTTTACCAAACAAATATATAGTTTACATTAATTTATTTATTTATGCATTCATTTAACTTGAAATTCGTGATTAAGAAAGGGATAAGCGTATAACTAAAATAAAAATAAAAATAATATTTCGGCTATTTACTAAATTTAAATTTATTTCCTAGCAACAATTTAAATATGGCCAATAACAAAGGATGGACTTGCCTGATGTATGCTTGCTATTATGGAAACAAAAATCTTGTTGATCGCATAGTAGATTTAGATCCAACAACTTTGTTCTCGGCCAACAATGATAAACAAACACCTTTAATGATCGCCACCATGTCCGGTAACGTATCCATAGTGAAGAAAACATTTCACGTAAGTAAAAATATTTAAGAATTTATTTTTAATTGTAATTATTTGATTACATTTACAATAAGAATTATAAGTTTCAAATATTTAAATAATGTTAAAAATACCAAAAGAAAAAAACCAACTGTAAGACTATTATTTTTTTTAAATAAAAGTATTTTATTAATTATAATGTTTAATTTTGAGATTTTAAATAAATAGCACCCAACATTAAATTAAATTTTTTAATAAATAATAAAGTCTTCCAATTTTGAGTACATGAAATTCAATATTCATTCCATAACTATAGCTAACCATTATCTATTTAGGTAGGTACATAAACATATTTAATCTAATTATTTATATTTTTTTTAAACAAAAATAAATTGTGTTAAACATTTAAAAATTATTTAATATTCTCATTTAATATTTTATCAATACAAATATACTTAGCGTTAATTTTGTATTAAAATATTAAATGTACCTACCAAATAAAATTGTATCGTGTATTCGTGTTATAAACTTAGAATACCTAATAAATATTGAAGATTTTATATAAAAAACTAACATTTATTTTAAAATTTAACCATTGCTCAATACTTTATACATATTTTAAAATATAACACAATTGTTTTATTACACATGCATAAGGATGTTATTAAGTTTAAATACTTAATAAGTGCTCCACAGTAATATATTGACTTATTGAAGGTTTAAACCTTTCGTTTACCCACCGGAGTTTGAAGACAATTTCTTCGCTACATTATAAGAACAATGTTGAATGTATAATATATATTATATTTAATTATAGTTCACGTGTACGAACGTATGTAATGGAGTGTTTAACCAACGTCATATTTCTTTAAAATAGCCGACTATAAGGACGTGACCACATGAATAAATTAAAATGATTTTATTTGTTCCGCCAACAACGCGGAGCCGTCGTTGCCCGCTCATTCATGCACGGACATCTAGTTTCGTTGTATTTTATTCGCGTAATTTGCATTGGGGGTATTTAAAGTGACATTTGATCCGGAAAAAACTCAACTATCAAGATATTTCATTCGGACACTATATAATTATATTTACCACATGGGTATAGTGGGTATAGAAAAAAAATCAACTTGTATTTAGCCAGTATCCGAGTGGGAAGGTCAGTTGACAGGATATAAAAAACACGTAAAAAGCATTACATTTTTGCGTTGGAAAAAAGGAAATATAATATGTGATCACTTATTGAGTCCACGATTATGGTATTTATGAATAGATATTTTAATGTGTTTAAATATATACCGGAAAGGTGGACATTATTATGGTAAACTGTAAATAGTTTCTAAAGATATCGATTTATAATGGTTTCGTATAATATTTAAATGCATTAAGTTTATTAGATATATTATATCATCATTAAACAACAAGCAGTCATCATATCATCTATAAGTACTTAAAATTATAAGTGTTATGTAGATTCGATTAAGTAATTTTCACTAAATAATCTGCTACACTCTTTTATTTAGCGTAAAATAAGAAGGTACCTACATACCGTATGTTATACAACTATGTATAAGGATGATGCATGGCCATACGTTTAAGAATAAAATACTTACTAATGGTTTCAGATGATTTATTCTGATTAAATGTCCACAAATAGGTTATTTGTCAATTCAATTGAAATTAATTATTATAAAATATGATTCAAATTCAAATGACGACCCATTAAAATAAAATGTTGGTTTAACTGTCCAGTTTTAGCAAAAATACCCGAAGAGAAAAATTTAAAAAATAATAGAACTGTTCAGCAGGTACACCCAGCCTATAAGTTATGATAAATAAAAAAGTGTGTACTTCAGTTGATAAATATTCTTTAATAATCATTGTATTAAATTAAATGATATAATACATTATATAAATACAACAGTAATATGTGATTATAAATATATACCTACAATATTATATATTATATTCATAGATATAATTGACATCTACATCTAATGGTTAGGATGGTGGGCTCTGTTTCCGGACAAGGGGACTGTCCGAAGAAAAATTATACCGCCCGTGGCCGAGTTCGAACCACCGACGGTGCGTGTCGCAACAGACGCCTTAGTCCACTCAGCCACTCCGTTCCCCCATTAGTAATTTATTTTACTATAAATATTATGGTAGATTGATTTAATTTTAGTTGAAAATATTGCATATATTATTATAGTACTAATATTTAATTTTTTGGATCTAGTATAAACTTATTATGAAGAACCTTTTATTACATTTTCAAGCCGTAGTTATATGAATTGAACATTTTATACATTTTTACAAAAACTAATTTGTAAATGTTGGTGATTTTGTAAAAATATGAACTTCGAATGCTTCAAAAAACTTGCAGATATACAGATCTGTAATATTTTTAAATAGCTATATTGAAAACTAATAAGGAACGTTGTATTATATGTTCAATTTTTTGGACCGAGCGAAGCAATTTTTCTTAATATTTATTGACCTAAAACTAAAAATAAATCGAATATGTGAAATGTCTATAAATAGCTCAAAAAGAGTCAAAATATTTCAAAAATATACTATGTATGGAATATATTTTTATAAACATTTGATGAAAATTGCAAGTATCTACGGTTATTTTTTTTCGAATAACAATACAATAAGTAAATTGTTTGAGGACTGAGGAAAAATAGTTATTTGACCGGTGAATATCCAATGTCATGTAAATTCTAACTTCAAACGCTCATTAAACTATTGTGAATTTACGATCAAATTATTTTTTAATTTCAGTCATAACAACTCACGAGGAACCTTGTATTAAATGTTCAAGCTTTTTGACAGAGTGAAAAATTGAACAATTATTACATTGAGATATATAGTATTTACAATTAACGCGGACACAATATGCATAATTTGTTTGATAAATCTTAATATTTAAAAGATTATTGGAAGTTGGAGGAGTAAAAACGTATAAAAACTATGGTTATGAACCCTAATCACAATTAAACTTGGGATATAATGTTCTATTTATTATCTAGCCAATCAGTGTACTATTGTAAAAAATATATTTTAAATCTATTCCAACATATAGAATGAACTCAAAATCTTAACAAAATAAAATCTGTAAAAATGTATAATAATAATTAACAAAACATAAAAGAATACAGCATTACAAAAATATGTCTTACTTCTACAGAGTTCCTAATAGTTACTTGCGTATAATACCTATTATAAGATAAAATGGCTTATAAAGTTATAACATTTTACTAAAACTAACAATGAGTTATATTTTTTAAATATTTTTTTAAGGTATTCTTCTTCGTCTTCTTCTTCTTATTCTCGAGCTTTTGCAGTCCTTGAAGGACTTTTGCTGACTTTTCGGTATTTTAAAACATAATAAATCATCTATTATTTTCATTTATTACAATCTTAATTTCTCCTAATAATCATAAGTATAGGCCACCAAAATCACATAACACCGTATACTAGATAGTAGATAATGATAAATAATATGATAATTTGTATCATGCGTCTTGACTATATTATAGTCACTATACAAGTCATATTCATTAGTAGCCCTCCGGGGTCCAACGACGTTATGTTGTGTTGTCTCAAGGTAGTAACAAAATAATATGTAAGCTTATCTGATTATCTCCAGATCGATTGATTAAAATTGCATTTAAAAAATCCTTAATGCATTTTTTATTATAAGAATTACATGAAAGTATAAGATTAGAATAAATAATTTTAAAAAAAACTATTTTCAAGAACCATCAGTTAAACGTTTTATTTTTAGTGAATAATGTAAGATTAATTTAAATTTCATTATAAACAGATAGGTAGTTTTAGTGTTGTACAAATATTTTGAACTAACATCAGAGGTTTAGTGGAGCCGTGGAGGGTACCGTGGGTACACGGCATGTACCCACCTCCTACTTTTATATTTATGCGTGTACCCTTAACGAAAATCTTGGTACGCAGGTTAGGAGTAGCCCCCCAAGTTATTTTTTACAATGATTAAAGCGTGTACCCATAAACTTTTTTAGGACTACATCACTGGGCCTAACAATGATTTATGAACAATTTTTAATCGCTCATTCAGATTATAATATTATATATTATAGTATGTACCTATACGAATCATTAGTAAAGGTATACACAAGTTTTCATATGTTTTTATTTCGGTTGCAGTAGGTACCTATCGAAATTATTATTTTTTTAATGATGGGTAATTAATCAAAATTTCCAAATATACAATTACTTATTAATAATATTTTGAACAATCACGCTAATATTATAACCACTAGTTAGATAAAATTTACCATAACATTTTGACTAAATATTGTTTTTGTGAAAGAAGATGGAATTATTTGCCTATGTATATCATATACTCGTTTAACACATCCATGATCGTGGTCTACCGGCTACCGGCATACTCAATGACAATATAGCCTACACTCGGCACCTACTATTATACCAACCTGCAGCAGCGCGAGTTCTCCTTTCTTTTTAAACATACAGCTAATATGATGATTTTGGTCCAAATTTCTTCCCAGAAAGACTATGTATAAAATAAGTAATAACATTTAATTTAGTTATATTTTTTCAAATGAACTGAAATTTATGAAATAATAATTATTTTACAATAGATGCTTATTATAATGATTACTTCTGTATTATACACATAGTTAACTGTTTAAAAATAGTTAAATTTACTAATATGGCAATTCGTCCTAGTGATACGAAAACAATAGGTGTGTTCAAAAATATATTCATTGAGTCGATTAAGACATAATAATATATATAGGTACTTGGTGAGTTATGTAGTCTTTAGTAATAATACAACTAAAATAATGATTATATAAAATGTATACTATATACATGTTCTATTGGTATTATATTAAAATATGTATGTTTCTTTTATAGTAGGTAACGTTTTATGTAAACTATTTAATAAGTATAAGTTGAAAAATGCATTCAAATTGCGATCACCGATCGCTTTCACATTTAACACTACACACTTATCTATTGCGTTTTGTCAGTTCTACCTTTGTTAGTCGCCAACCTCTATAGACCCATTATACTATTATAAGTCATATATCTTATTCGATCGGCATTCTTTTGCGAATATTTATTATTTATATCTATTTTTTAGTGAAACCCTTGTCAATATTGAGGCCACTCGTCTTTACGAAACAATTTTCCCACTCAGTATAGGTTTCCTATCTACTTACACCTACTCTCGCGATATTCTTCCTTCGTGACAAACATCTATATATTTGTTAGATGATCCAACGAGCCACCGCCGTTTATAATGGTCATCTCCAGGAACCAGTAGTGCATGCATTGATTTCATATATTTTTTTTAAGATTTGGAGTGGGGATTAACAGGTTATAACTTCTAATGATTCAACAATTGAGTTGATTTTTTTACCATCGGCATGTAGTATTTGAGATGAATAATATACAAGCGCTGGTACCGAAAGACAAATTTACCCACAGTCACATTTTTGCCATCGATAATTGAACGGACGCTGCAAACTGGTGTAATTGCATCGTTAAGTATTGCCTTGCATTCTAAAGACTCCAAACTAATGAGTGTACCTGCCTTATAGATAGTGTGGCATGTTATCTTTGTAGCCACTGTAAAATGTATACCACTAAACGCCGACTATTTCGATTGAACCAATGGACATGATCGAAATATTCTTAGAACTAAAATGGCATATAATACGAATATTAATTAAACGTATTTTTTAGGTTGACATTTTGGAGATGCCTGATAAACTAGGCAGATCTGCAATGTTTTATGCGGTATTATACAATCAAGAAGAAATATTGGAGTATTTTATTGAAAAACAAGCCAATTGTAACGTAATGTTAGTAGATTTTTTTTATTGTTGAAAGCAAAATGCACTGCAGTTTATATGTATAGATACCTATAATGATAAATCTACACTTTAACATGGTTTTAGTTAGAAGACTATATAAATAGTTTAATTAGTGATTCTGAATTTATAATAACAAAACATTTGTGTACTGGCTTGAACATTAAAACTTATTTAAAACTTATACTTGAATACACGTCTACACTCTACAGTCTACACATATGACAATATTCCATCTAAAATTAGCAGGATCATTATATTTGAATCACCTAATTATTTTTATAATACCGAATTATATAGGTACCTATAATAGTACTAACTAATGAAATAAACAAATAAATAGGTAGGTACCTACCTACATAATAAGATGTAGGTGTAGGTAAGTTATATTGATCAAAACTGCTCATTAGACTTGAAAGCGTATTATCCGAATAACTTAACTAGGTATTGATTTCAAAGTTCTAATTAATTATACCACCCTGAACTAGAATTAATTAATTTAAAAGAGAAAACATTAAATATTATACCAACTATCATAAAAGTATAGCAAATTAACCAGTAAGTACTCGTATATTATATAAAATAAACCTATATAGGTACTGACAGGTAAGACTGTCACTGTAGTCTATAACCCAAAGGCATCTCTCACATCTCCCAGGAGAATTATAAAATATGTTTATAATAATATAAAAAGATAGTTATAAGTCATCAGAATTATAATCCTAAACGGCTAAGCATACAAAACGGATTTTCAATAATTTATATATTTGCAGGGTACCTATAGATTATATATAACTGCCTGTTTTGCTTTTTACCTTTACAGGTTTTAGGTAGGTAATACATAATATATTGTATAAATAATAACAGGAGTTATTTAAGGTTTAACTATTCAAATTTCAAAGTTAAAAACAAAAATAATATCGTGATATTCATATTTCCTTACATTGTGTGTATTTTTTTAAATAATTCTAAATGATGTGAGCAAATTAATTGAATATAAAATGTTTTTTTTTTAAATCATTATTTATATACTTACTAAAACTTAAATTGAAAGGTTACTTATTAAAATTTTGGGTTAAATTTTTAACAAATTAACGATAAATCTGATGTAGGTAAGATATTTTAACTATTATAACACCTTTTATTACTGTCTAAATGTTGATAGTAATATATTATTTGCTTATAAATATATATTTATATCTAACTATAGTCTATTATAGGCAATAAATATATAGTTATAATAATATTATATAATGTATATTATATTTTATATTGTGCATTATGCCAATAACCTTAGTTGTTGTGGCTCAAATTAATAAAAAAAAAAAAATAATAATATTATAAATGTACCTACCTATTATTATATTGGTAGGTACCTGCTTTAACTTTAAAAACATATAACCGACATATAAAAAATAGGTACACATTACATCGATAAGAGTCAGGAAAATTCTACAGTTAAAACATTCAGCATCCCTAGATTTTAAAATACATCTACTACTTGTTTTTATAGTGATAACTTCGGTAAGACTATGACTATGACAGCTATCTCAAAAGGATTCCGGAGAGTTATGAAATTGTTGTACGAGTATGGAAATAGACACGAAAAAAACGTGTTGAATACTACATGGTCAGAAAAATTGGAAAATGCCAGAAACAATCCTCAAAGTGACGAACATTTAGGTGTGTTTCATTTCACTTAATGAACATATTTATTATTACAAACACGCTACAGTGTTTATTTTATAGTTAAGCTTTCTGCAATCATTTATTAACGTATATTATTATAGATTATCAGGTGGAAAAACTATTGAGACAATTGTCACTGGAAAAATATTGGCCGGTGTTCGACGAACGAAACATCCGGTATAATGATTTTTTGAAGTTATCTGAGCAAGACTTGAAAGATATCGGTATACAGTTAGTACATAATTATACACAATTATTAGTTTTAAATTATGATTATTTTTATTTTTTATTAGAGTATGGCTAAGGACAATATTAACCATATTAAGAGTTAAAACGTACATAAATAATTTTTAAATTTATTTTCTTGTGACAATTCCTCATTCCACGCAAATGAATACATTATGTAATAATTATGTCTATGTAAAATATAAATAAGAATAATTAAGACATTTTTTTATAGTATTAATGTAAAGATATTTTTCTAAAAATAATAAATGTATTACTTTATTAATTTGTATTAGCGATTTCTACGCAACATAAAATTTTCGAAATAATGAGATTCTTTTTTAGCTTTTTATAGGCATAAGAAAATTTTAAGTTTGATGACCTATAGGCTATAAGTTTTTTTAAATTATTGTCGATTAAAAATTTTTTGTTTGGTCAAAAAACTTTCATATGTAATACAACGGCCCTCTAAATTTTCGTTAATGAAAATTAAAAAAAAACTTGAGCTAATTAGAAATTATTTATAATGTACACTAATAAGCAAAAATAAAAATAATAATAATTTTATTAACAAAAGTCAAAGTTAATTATTTTGTTTCTATGGTAGATGATATTTTCAGGCTAAAATGTAGGTATACTTACCTTACTTTAATTATTAATATTGTACCTATTTTAATAGTAATAATTAGTAATCAATAGGCATAAAACTATTTTACTGTATCGTTAGAGCCCAGAGGGCATAGGCTGAAATAACATTTGGGATTTGGGGGTTCTAAACCCCTACTTTGATAATATTCAATAAGCTTAAAACAAAATGTAGGAAATGTTTAGGGGGCCTATGGGCATTTTTGGGGGGCTTAGCCTCTAAAGCCCTCCTCGTATTTGCACCTATGCCAGAAGGTACACCTTTAACCTACCATTACTAGTACTTACCAATGTAATACAAATACATAAGATAACATACTTTTAGGTACTATATATATAACAAAGGTACCTAACTTTATATCGATAAAATGAAGGAATTTGATGTATAACAAGAAAAAAGTGTGCACATTTCTTTTCTTGATTATAAATTAAAGAATTTATAGAATTAATAACTTACCATTTTTTCGAATCGGAATAATACCTAGTAATACTTAACTATAATTTAAATGTTGAGTTATGCTTATGAAGTTAACATATATTCATAAGCCAATTTATGCTTTCGAATATATAGTTTTTACATATTGTAATATTAATTGAGCGATAAATGTACCTACCTGCAAATGTTCTTTAAAATATAAAAATAAAATTCTTTCATTTCCATTTCGACCACTCTTGTTTATTATTAAAATACTTTTTTGGTATTTAAAATTATTTAAAAATAGTTTTACGTAGTATTTTATTCCACAATACTAAATACTTTTTTTCTTTTTATCGTCGTATTTCTACTAACAGTATTTTTGTTTCGTATATTCAAAGCCGGGCCGAGGGCCTGCAGCCTGCTGACAAGATGGCTCCTGCCAGGAGCGCAATATATTGAATGTGTGAAAGAGCGCAAAGTCAATAAATTATTGAGGATACGGTGGGGGGGGGGCCAAATTTTCATCATGCAAGGACCTCTACTATTGCTCGGCCCCTATTACATAGGCAAAATTTCAACACTTTTGGCTTGGAGGGGGGGGGGCTGAATATATTAAAGGCAAGCAGACCATTGCAATATAGCATATTAAAATTGTATGTCCTAGGTTTTTGGGGGGGCTACGGCTAAGTTGGGGGGGGGGGGGGCTTAGAAAGACATTGGTGCAGTCGGGATCTCTTAAATTCCGACCGTTATTAATTCAAAACTATTAACTTCTAAGGATTGTCATGTTGTTGTTAATCTTATTTTACCTAATTTACTTATTGTAGGTAGATAAAATAATACAGATTGTAAATATACTATTTTGTTAAATAAAAAAATTTTTATATATTTATTAATAATTTTAAGTATACATTTGTAATAAACGTTCAAATATTTTAATATTGATTCTACAAAAAAAGTACTTGTAAAGTATTTTGAATGCCCACTTTTAAAATGTATTTGTATTTAATATTTATGTTCAAATACAAATGACACCAAGTATTAAAAACATTTAAAAATTATTCATAACAACTAACAAGACTGGCATTTCCATTCTTAAATGATATTTTAAAAAAAACACTACTAATTGATTAAAAATAAACAAATTAAATCACAAATACAAAACTGAATAATGCATTTAAATTCTGAACATGTTTTACGTACCTGCTAAAATTTGTTTATTGTAATCTAAAATTTAAATTTCATTTCTATTTATAAATTATAATTATATTAAAATAATAACTTGAAGTCTTCATCTAAAATAATCATATATACCTAATCAAAGTAATTAAACATGGAAACATTCACGTAAGAAACTTATTGTTTTTATACACCTATGTATTGAATACACGTGTGCATATACCTATATAAATTGGATTATGATAAACTCTTTAAATTGTTATAGTTTATTTGGTCCAAGGAGAAAATTAATAATGACTATTGATAAATTAAATGAATTAAGAACATCACAAGAACACTCGAGGAGTTGAAAATTGTATAGACTTTTTATTTTATATTAACTTTTATTGTATTGATGTACTTTTATACTTTTTACTTATATATATTTATGATTTTTATTTGAATTTTATTAATTAACATAACTTTTCTATAACTACACTACTTATATTTACCTTTTTATTTTTAAATATTATAATTTGTAACTTAAACATTTATTTTTACATGATAATACATTTGGAATTTTGAGTTATGTGAGAAATATATTAATTTTACACGACAATGTATTATTTTTTTTATTTATGTCTTCAAATGTTAAAATCAATAGCCTGGTACATTTACATACCTACTGTTAAATTATGTATTTATTATGTATAAACATCCTTATTGGTAGGTACTTAGAATTCTACATTTTAAGCTACAAGTTGTCATAAAAAATTTTAGTTTTTTTAGTCATATAAGTCTAAAAAATTAATGCTATCAAGTTGTATATGAGTTTTCACTGCTTCCGCAATGGAGGGAGGAATACCTTTTCTCAAAGATGACTGAAAATATCCATTTCTCCTGTAGGTACTGTGGTCTGTGACATAGGTAGTGAATCAAGACCCAGGCCTCCTTTAGACATATTATTTCTCCTATTTTCATAAGGAAATTTCAAAAACATTGGAATAATAATTAGAAAAAGCGACAGTATGAGAAGACTTTTGGATTTTGTTATTTAATATATAATGATTAATTGATTTGTTACATTAAGATTATACTAGCATTGGGAAAAGATTTTTAATTAAAAATAAAATGTAGGTATATCAAAAGCAAAAATTTCCCAGTTTTCAAAAGCGCAGTGATTAACTAAAGAAAAATTAAGGAAAATCCGTTTTAGACAAAATCGATTTTGGTTTTTTTTGTAACTCTAAAACAAATGACCGTAGATGGTAGATACATGAAATTTTGACTGAATGTCATTTTCTATACATTGTATAATTTTAAAAATATTTAATATTTTGAGTTGTTTACAGGAATTTTTAGTTTCTAATTTTTATATTTTGGGTCAAAAAGGACCCAAACTTTAAATATGCACACGCCTATGATTGTATTATGACTTGACTTTCAGTGTTAGGACTTGAGTTTGAGTACTTTCAATACTATTTATTAATATTATGATAATTGATACCTAACCTAACTAATAATATTTATTTAACACATACAAACATAATAATATATTAAATGTGTATCAACTGGCTGATTTATAAATAACATTCATTATTGCATATCAAAAATCTTTATTTGATATGATATATTTTACAGATCTTAAAATTGTAAATTAATGAATACAATTTTTATGTAATTAGTTCAGTTATAACAATAGTAGGATAAAATAAATGTATTTTAAAGAAGAATATTAAGTAAAAGGAATTAAATTAAATTGAATTTTTAATTGGAAAAATTTGAACTTAAGTTGCAGGACTAAAAAACTGTTTACTTTATTGTTATCTTATCTTATAAGGAACAAAAATTCAACACAATGAAAATTATAGTCAAGTTTATTTTTTAATTGGTTTTTGTTTCTTCTTTTGCCCGTTTTCAACTGGTATACCTTTTGATATAGACAGTTTAGATTTCAATTGTAACAGCAAATCAATTTCAGGCTGTAATTCACTTTTTTCAACTTTTGCTTCCTTTAGTTTTCGTACTTTGTCGCCCTGGGAATAAATTATTAAAATTTAGTAAATATGGTAACAAAACAGATAACATAAATATTAATATGCACTCTAAAAAAAATGTGGATTGTCTAAATATACTGAAGATATTGAAATTGATTGCATTGACTGTATGAATGTTCTTTTTTTTCATTTATATGCATCAGGCGCGCACCCAGAATTATTGCTTGGGGGGGGGGGCTTAATAATTTTTCTTTTTCCCTTACACACAAGTAAACAATTAAAACTAATTTTTAAATAACCAATTTTGTAAAAAATCGAACAGACTGAATTATCTAAACGAGATTTTCATGCCACAGACAGTCGAAAGTCATAATTATCATTGTTATCGTAGTTAACAATCAAAGTCGATCGTACGTAATCATTATTGTATCTATAAATCTAAAAATAATTTTCAACGAAATAAAAATTGACGATAGCCACCATAGAGTATATTGATTGTCACAAACCTTATCGCGTAGTATTGAACTATTATGTATATATTATATGTGTATCTAACATAATAACAAAATTTTAAAATAAAACATTATCATTTATCATTGTTATACTATATTTTCTATAATAATGTGTAATTTAATGAAAAAATATTTTTTGGGGGGGGACTTAAGCCCCAAAGCCCCCCCCCCTTGGGTGCGCCACTGATATGCATATTTAATATTTCTGTGAGAAATCGTATATAAAATGCTTGTAATAATATGACACAATTAAAACTAACATGCATGATTAACTTTTCATATTTTTAGCTTAAACAATAAATATGTAATTATAATGGTTGTTATAGTTAATCTATACAATATCATTAGTTTTATACTTTTTGGATTACTATTTAAAGGTAGAACACATATTGATAAATAACTCTAAGTTGCTAGCAATTACCTGTTTGGAAATTTCTTCTTCTAAGCAATCTATAGATATTGGATTGGATTCTAATTTCATTTGTTCTAAGCTTTTCTTCATCTCCAATAATGCTTTGACATATGGTTCCCATTCACTTTTTTGAGCTCCACTTTGCTTTAATTGTCGCACCGTATCACCCTATCATTAAATGAGCATAACATAATTTATAATTTTTTTTTTTTTATAATTTAAAAACATTATGAAAAGTAGATAACTTAACATTTGATAAAATTAATTTACTTACTTGTTTAGAAATAGCTTCTTCCATTTGTTGTACACTTGTAATTTGTTTAAGATCCAACCCAGAAGCTACCGCTAATTCTTTTTCCTGTGATTTCTGTTTGCCAGCAAAGCGGCTTTTTAATTGATTAACAACTGATGGATCAATTTTTTCAAATAATGGAGCTGGCTGTTTTAAATAAAAATAAATTAGTGTTCCATATTTATAAGCATCAAACTATTGAATTATACTTTTCCAATTTTATGACCAGGTGGCAAGAAAACTGATACAAAGTTATTTAATAAAAATGTAGAAATATCAATGTTCAACTGTTTTCCAATTATATTAACAGTTTGTGGCATATAAGGTTGTAACATGACAGCTAGTAAACATGCTAAATTACAACTCAGTCCTATAACTGTACCGGCTCTGATTCTAAAATATTATATATTATACAAAAAGGTTAGTCGTGTAAAATAAATACTACTTTTATTTTATTTGTATTATTACTTTTCTTCACTTGATCCTTTTATCAACACCCATGGTTTTTGGAACTGCATGTATTGGTTACCATGGCGAGATATCGAAAGTATGAGTCGTAAACCATCTCTAAGTTTAGCCTTGTCCAACATACTTGTGTATTCTTTGAGGTCACGTGTTACTAATGCTAATAAAGTGAGTTCATCGTTTCCTAATTGAATTTCAGGAATAACACAATCAAAAAACTTTTCTAAGAACGATAAAGCTCTGAAATATTTGTTTTACAAATTAGTAATTAATAACTATAGAAGACAAAATATTGTTTTGTAAACAATATATATATAATTATGTGTGCAACAATGTATACTTAAATCACCTATTACAAAAGTTTCCTAAATTGTTCAACAATTCCGAATTATTTTTGGTAGCTAAATCTGCCCAGCTAAATGAACTATCTTGAGATTCAGGACGTACAAACAATAAGTAAAATCTGAAAACATCAGCAGGCAACCCTGTATCTTGAGCATCATTCCCAAATACTCCAACACCACGGGATTTAGAAAATTTACCATCTTCATAGTTTAAGTATTCTAAAACAATAAATATACATAAATACTGATTGAGCTTAACATTTTTAAAACCACAAACCTGTAGCCATTATATGGTTGACCATTGTATAGTTGCGTTCAGTAGCAAAAAGGCATGCTGGAAACATAACTGAATGAAAAGGCACATTATCTTTTGCCATGAATTGGTAGTATGTTACTTTTGTATCATCTTCTGGTTGCCACCACTTGCGCCAGTCTGGTGTGTAAGCAGCACTCATACTCATGTAGCCAATTGGCGCATCAAACCAAACATAAAACACCTATAAACTTAGTTGTTAGAAATATTTTGCTAATCACATAAAAATAAAATATTGAAATTAACATCATACTTTTGACTTGAAGTCTTCGAGTGGCACAGGAATTCCCCATTTCAAATCCCTAGTGATACATCTCTCTTTCAAACCATCTTTCAACCAAGATTTAGTTATCACTTTTGCATTATAAGACCAATCGTCACCAGATTTATCAACCCAATCATTAAGTTTAGCTTCAACTTTGGGCAAATTCAAAAATAGTTGCTGAGAACTACGTACAACTGGCGTTTTTTGACAAACTTTGCACCTAGGTTTTATAAGTTCAGTAGCATTTATTAAATGACCACAACCATCACACTGATCACCTCTCGCATCTTCATAATTACATAAAGGACATGTTCCTTCAACAAATCGATCAGCTAAAAACCTGAGGGAAAAAATAATAATGTCAAGATAATGGTATTAAAAGTTAAGATTTTGTCTGCATGTATGACTTATGAAATATATTTTAATAAATTACTTACCGATCACAATTCTCACATAACAGTTGTTCCATAGATGCGGTACTGGTATAGCCATTACTGTGTACTTCCTTAAATATTTCTTGAACAATTCTAAATAAAATATAACCCAATTTTTTTAGAACTATTGTAATTTAAATAAATTACATAAAAATTCAGACTATATAGTTATAATTTTTACTCTGTTTGTTTATGTGATGTAGTTCTACCAAAATGATCAAAACTAATGTTGAACCACTTATATATTTCATTATGAATTTTGAAAAACTTGTCACAGATTTGTTGGGGTGTTAACTTTTCTTCCAATGCTTTTGTTTCAGTTGCAGTACCATATTCATCAGTACCACTAATGTATAATGTATTCCAACCACGCAATCTACAATATCTATTAATTAAAAGAATAAACCATTGTTAATTTAACTTAATCGTAAATTAGTAGTTGCTATATAAGTATACAACAAACATGAAATTTAGGCAATTGGAAAATGTATTTATAGAACTTTATTTTATATAAAGTTCATATGTTATTAATTGTTCATACTAAAAACATTAAAATAATACATTTTAATTTTAAATTACTATAATATGTTTGATCAGATGATATCATTTTAAAATTTACCTTGCAAAAACATCGGCTGATAAAACACAACCAATTATATTACCAAGATGTGGAACATTGTTGACATATGGTAGTGCTGAAGTCACAAGGATATTTTTTTCGTCTTTAACAGGTAATCTATAGTAAAAATATTAAAATATAAATACATAAAAATAATGAACATTAGTAATAGTAAGGTACCTTGTTAGGTACTGACATTGCAATTTGAAATTATTCCAACAAAAATTAAGACATTGACAAGTTAGTATAAAACTAATAATAAACATAGAATATTTTGCACAATGTTGTAGAAATATAATATAATATATTGGGTTAAGTGAAAAAATAGTTTTTTTCTACTTGAAAGAATTTCAATCAAATTTGTATTAATCAATTTGGTATTAAATTTAGGTAGGTAATTCAATAAATAGATGAACCTATGCAAAAACAAAACATATTTTTACCAACAAAAAATTAAATACATAGCTTAACAAATTTAACTATTACTATTACAGTTATTATTAGGTTTTTTTTTTCGAGTCGGAGTGATAGGTAATTTTACTGGTAATTAAATGTATAAACATCATTAATATTATAAACTAACATAATATCAATTAGTCAAAAAGTCAAAAAGTCAACAGGTAGGTATTCAAGAGTCGGGTCAAGCAATGTGCAAACAGTACGGCCCTCATGTAGTGGTTATACATGGAAAAGAAAAAAAAAAGGTAATTTAAGAGTAATACCTATTTATTATTTTAAGGGCCGATTTCACCAACACAGTTAATCACGGTTAAACTTCGATTACGCTTAATCGGCTGATAACAGATATTTAACAGGGAAAATTCGGACAATTAAACTCCTGTTAACTTTAACCGTGATTAACTGTGTTGGTGAAATCGGCCCTTAGTATTTAAACATTTTTAACCTATTTAATACCATAGGGCAGTTGTTATTAACCGGTGTTCCATGGAGCATATTTTTGATGTTTCGTGAACATAGAGAAACTGTTCCTCCAAAATTTGTAAATCAGTGATACAATAAAAATGTTTTGCCTTTATACTTGTAGACTAAAATTATTTTGTTTTCTATTGAGTGATATACTGATATTTAAACTGTCATGAGTTATGTAATTTTAAATAATATATAAAATATATTAACACTGTTTTAATTTAAGGCCGTGATGAACAAAAATTTTATAAAATTATAAGCGTTCAGATGTGATTCTGAAAATGTTAAAAACTATTACAATAGGGTACCTATAAAGTTGGTATCAACTCTGATTCCAATTTCAAATACTGGGCAATAACATAGTTTAACATTTTTTCAAACAATCTAACCTACCGGTAAATATTGGGGAGTAAAACGATAAATGACAATATTAAACTCACACTGGTTGGCATTCAACTTTGTTGATGTCTTTCAGACAGGATTTGGATATCCACGAATTCTTCGCGTTCAATAACTCGAATTCATCTACTTCAACGGCCGCCAGCGACATTCTTACAAGCTTTTATCACAAAAATGAACTAATGACCGTCTATAAGACTCCCACTGAGACTGAGTAGTGAGTACTGGCAAATGACAAGTCGCTTATCGACTTTTCAGACAGCAGACTGCAGGAGTAATGCAGTTTTGGGCTTTATAGAATTATAGGTTATCAGCAGGAAGCCCACGTAAACACGTAAATATTGATATTGATTAAGTATACCCAGGCGGCCAAGCTACAGAATATAGTATAGATAATATTATCTATCTAAACTCTAAAGCCATGGTGGAGATTGAAAGCACTATAGCTGTGATTTCTCGTCTAATGGGAATTTACACGATAAAGTGTTATTTTATATTTTTATCCTCGGAATTTAGACGTGTTTTCATTCCAACGTACCGAATACCGATTGATTTTAGTGAAGCGATAAACGTATTCTAAAAACATATTGGACTTTGTCGTCATGTCTACTTGAGGTCGACATTGGACTTTCCCACATTTTTTATTTTATCCACCTAATCAAAATTCGTACTAAAAAAGAAAATAGAATACTTACAAGAAATTAAAATAAAAAAATTAGAAATCTGGGGAAATCGATCTCAAGTAGACTGTTTGCGCTGCAAACGAATTTATGTTGTGTGTTTCTGTTATCATTTTCATGTGCACGTATCAGTGCGTTCCACAGTTGCAGCCTTCGTCGGCTGATGCTTATCAGGCATTCGTGTGCGACCGGCCAGCTGTGGAACAATTATCAATGTTTTCATTATATTTGGTTATGTTAAAAACTTTAAGTTGTGTTTCGAGTAGTCATGCTTTCAGTGTCATAAAGTTCACAATGTTTTTGTTATCGGTTATTGTTTTAGTGTGGTGACACTGATAGTCCGTTCGTTTTTGTGTTGCTCTATTGTGCCTCCAGGACATTTTGGTCCTTCGAACCGGATAGGCTAAGTGAATTAGTAATCAGTATAAAATATAAATTTCATTAATTTGTATAATCATTTTTTTATATTTTTTTTATTGTTAAATAAGCACACTGTGCATCATTCCCAATATTGTAATTTAGGCCACAATCATGGATATCAAAAAGGCGACTTTAGAGTTGAAGGTTATTCATTCCAGTTTAAAGGCGATGAGCACATTTGCCAAGAACTTCAATAGTGAAACAAACAATCAAAGCCAAGTTAGAGTACGCTTAGAGGAGCTTCCAAGTATTTCAGAAAAATTTGAAGAAGTGCAGTCAGTAAAAGAAGAACTTGATCAAAGGTCAGATGACGTAGTAATGGATGAACGAGCAAAATTTAGAGAGAGATTTTATGAAGTCAAGGCATCATTATTACATATATTGGAAGTTGAAGAATCCAAAAAATCAGAAGTGACCAGTCCATCCTACAGCATCACATCCAGTCATGTAAACAACAATATGATGAAATTACCACCTATTGAACTCCCTAAGTTTAGTGGTGATTGGAAAGAATGGACATCATTCATAGACTCGTTCAATGTTTACTTCCACAACAACAAAGATATGGCACCGGTTCATAAATTGCATTTTCTTAAGGCTTGTTTAGAAGGGCAGGCCAGTGACATTGTCAAATCTATACCAACTACAAATGAGAACTATGGGCAGGCCTATGATGCAGTAACAGCAAGATATGAAAACAAAGGAGCAATTATTCAATCACATATTAGAGCATTATTTGATACTCCTAAAATTTCAATAGCTTCAGTAATAGAGTTGCAAAGACTTTATCATCACATTACTTCAAATATAAATGCATTACAGGCTTTAGGTCAACCGATCGAAGCCTGGGACGCTTGGTTAGTCACATTAATATGCAACCGAATGGATAGAGTAACCGTCGGTGAATGGCACGTTAAATATAACAAGAAAGACCTACCAGAGTTCAAAGAAATAAAAGAATTTTTATTCAACCGTATTGCTGCCTATGAAGCAGGTGAAGTTAACGTTGGTGCATCATGTATTAAACAGAATGTGGTCAAGTCCAGTAATAAAGTTCAAGAAAAAAAGGTTTTTTTTGTTAAACCTGCGAACAAGGTAACCACATTGTACAAATGTCCCTTTTGCAATGAAACTCATAGATTATATCAATGCAAAGGTTTTAATGATTTGAAAGTACCAGATCGCCGAGAATTTGTTTCAAAGAATCGGTTATGTTACAACTGTCTATACTCTAATCATCAAGCACAAGACTGCAGGTTCCCAGGTTGTCCAAGATGTGGTCAAAAACATAATTCAAAATTGCATTTGGTTCAAGCTCATGAAAATCAACAAACTAGTAGTGAAACGGAGCCCATTGCAAGCACAAGTGCTCTATGTTTTAGTAAGGGTATAGCACAATCAATGCATGCGTCAGGTGACATGGTCATGTTGGCCACAGCCGTGGTATACATTAAAGATGCAGCTGGCTATCCTCAACCCTGTAGAGCACTACTGGACTCAGGATCACAAGTTAATTTTATAACTGACGCCTGTGCCCAATTTCTTGGAATGTCTAAAACAAAATGTGTTCTACCAATAGTTGGTATCAACTCAATGAGGTCAGATGCACAGAGATTGCAACCAGTTGTAATGTATTCCAGGTTTGAAAATTTCAACGTTTCACTAGACCTTCATGTACTTCCTTCAATCGCCAATGATATGCCATCTCAATTAATACGTTTAGATCAGTCAAAGATTCCGGACATTGTTAATGAACAATTGGCAGATCCAAGCTATGATACACCAGGCAAGATAGATATACTACTTGGCGCAGAAATGTTTTACACACTTTTCAGTGGAGAAAAAGTTGCCATTACAAATAGTTTAGTGTTTCACAAAACCACACTTGGATGGGTTCTTACTGGAAGGGTATTAAATAGTGAAGTTATACAGTCTAGGTTTTCTGCTTGTACTTGTGCTAATGATGCGACCATAAACTCAGCGCTTTCACTATTTATCAGTAAATCAAGTGTTCGTAAAGATGAAGAAGATGAAGCTGAACAGCATTTTAAGAAGACACATTACAGAGATGAGTCAGGACGATTAGTTGTTAGCCTCCCATTAAATACTAAGCTCAGTTCGCTTGGTGAATCTAAACACATGGCGCAACAACGATTCTTTAACTTGGAAAAACGGTTATCTAAAGACAGAGAACTATGCATAGCCTACCACAAGTTTATGTCAGAGTACCTAGACATGAACCACATGGAACTAGTAACTAATGATGATTCAAATAGTCAAACATATTATTTGCCTCACCATGCTGTCATCAAAGAAGACAGCATCACCACAAAATTAAGAGTTGTGTTCGATGGATCAGCTCCATCAAGTTCCGGGCTATCCCTTAATGATGTCATGTTAAAGGGACCTATAGTGCAATCTTCCTTGTTCTCAATACTGTTACGATTCAGAGTACATAAGATAGCATTAACCGCAGACGTTGAGAAGATGTACCGTCAAATACTAGTAACTCCAAAAGACTGTCAACTACAACGAATTTGGTATCGTCCAAGTCCCTCTGAACTGTTAAGGGAATATAACCTTCGGACAATCACGTACGGTACAAAATCAGCTCCCTATTTAGCGACCCGTAGCCTGGTGGAAGTAGCTTTTTCAGCTCCAAATGAAGCTGCTCAAAGAGCTATAAAAGATGATTTCTATGTAGACGACCTACTTACTGGTGCTGAATCTTCAGACGAATGTTTCCAGCTATACAAAGATGTTTCAGACACGTTGGCGTCTCGTTGTCTACCGTTAAGAAAATGGTGTACAAGTTCTTCCGAAGTCCTGAGTAAATTACCAAATTCTGGGACCGATCCTAATCATGTTTTACAATTTAGTGAACAGGATGCTGTCAGTACGTTAGGTATAATGTGGCAACCCATAACAGATTGTTTTTGCTTTACATTAAAGCCATGGAATCCACCCAAAAAAATGACTAAGCGTACATTGCTTTCTGACATTAATAGGATTTACGATCCACTTGGTTTCCTAACACCAGTTCTTATAACTGGAAAGATCTTTGTTCAACAGTTATGGGTGTTGAAGATTGATTGGGACACGACATTACCCGACGATATGCAACATCGGTGGAAAAACTTCTATTTATCTTTGAATGCGTTGGATAAATTAGCCATTCCACGTCGGCCATTGTCAAGTAATTGGTTAAACATACAGCTTCATGGATTTTGTGACGCCTCGCAGGAGGCGTACGGAGCATGTGTTTACACAAGAACACAGAATTCAAATGGAGATGTTGAAACAGCTCTATACGTTTCAAAATCAAGGGTAGCACCACTTCATGCGACCACTATACCCCGGTTAGAACTCTGTGGTGCTGTACTACTCAGTGATTTAACTACAGAAGTCATTTCTGAATTAAAAAAATTGAATATAAACCTACATCAACGCGACGTTGTACTGTGGTCAGATTCAACGGTTGTCATCGCCTGGATAAATAGTACACAGCCACATTGTAATCCAGCTGATCTTATAACACGTGGACAAACAGTTAACAATTTACAACAGTGTTCAATGTGGTGGAGTGGTCCACACTGGCTCTCAAAGCACCACACTTCATGGCCTACACGTACTCAGCCAATCTTAAATGAGGTACCTGAAGTACGACCTGTTAAATTGGTGCTTCAGGCATCTGCCCAGCCAGTAGATGATTATCCGCTCAGCAAGTTTTCTAAATGGAACCATATGGTACGCGTTACAGCGTACATGTTGCGTTTCATATCCAACAGTCAAGGATGAAGAGGAAGAAGAACATAAACTACAACTACAATCATAGTATCATCTCAAGTCATTTATTATTATCATTTGTATTCATTGTTTAAGACAGTTTGTCTAGCCGCCTAAGGCTCAAGTCATTTATTATTATCATTTGTATTTATTGTTTAAGACAGTTTGTCTAGCCGCCTACGGCTCAAGTCATTTATTGTTACCATTTGTATTTATTGTCAAAGACAGTGTGTCTAGCCGCCTAAGGCTCAAATCATTTAGTATT